TTGTGTTCGAAAAGTCCCCATGGAATTTTATCTCCTTTCCTAAAGGAATCAGTATAACCTGCAAATAAAGTTCAGGACAGGGAATCTTCTTGTGACAAAAGTGCATACACAGTCTTTGGCTGATCTTTGGAATATGGTAACTGGTAGTTTGCAACATTTTGGAGGCGATAAAGGTTACTACCTAGGACTCTGGTAATAATGTGAGCAGTACTCAGTTCCGATTATGCATTATTTTGTGCGAGGGAAATGAGAGATCATGAGATATGTCATGTGATATTAATGGACGAATTACAGTTCTTTAATCGGAAAAGGGGGGAATTTGGAAAAATATCTGTGGCAGTATATTATTTTGTATTAAGCTTCATTGTGTGTTGTGTGAAGTAGTGTTGAATAATTTTCGGATTGTATGGCACTGTGTAATATTATTTTAAAGATCCGGAAACAGGTGCACATACCAATACAATAGAGGGCACGTGGAGTGCTATAAAAAGCGCCATTCCGAGGCATTGTGATAAAGAGAATTTTGCTTTTTTATTTAGCGGAGGAAAAATTCGCAGAAAAAATCGTTCAATAATTTTATTGAATCAATAATAAAAGTGTATCCACCATGTAAGTAAGATTCTGAAGAAGATTAGGTAAGTTAGTATTTTTAATTATTTGAGGATATTATTTTTATGCATTGTTCTAAATGTAAGGTGGAAGTAAAGTAATTTGGTATTATTGGAAAATTGTTATTAGCAATGATTTAGTTTAAAGTAATTAGGATTGTAAGCTAATTTTTATTAATTTAATGTATGTGCTTATTTATATTTAGTGTTTTTGAATTAAATTATATTTTCATTAAATGATAGTTATTTTGTGAATTATATGTTTGTAGAATTTGGTATACGTTAGAGTGGAAGTAAACGTGCATGGAAATAATTTAAATATTTGACACTAAGTATTTGTAAATATTTGTAATGTTTGCGGTATGAATTAGTTAGTGACGTTTGTAATATAATAGATAATGTACAGGTAAAAGTTTTTGGATATTTTATTTATTTTATACGTGGAAATGTTCATATTTGGAAAGGGTATATACTTTTTCGCGATCAGGTAATTTCATATATGTTCTTTTTACCGGGTTTAAAGATTCAGAAAATTGTCATGCATTTTCGTGAAATTTTTCCAATTTATGAGAAAAAAGCAGTGTACATGGATATAGTGAAGAGTGTGCGCAATGCCATTTTTTGTGCAATTCTGGGATGTTTTTTTTTTAAGTAAAAAAAGTCGACGTGTACATGGTTTAGTGATATTTTAATTAAATGATAGTTATTTTGTGAATTTTATGTTTGTAGGAATTTGGTATATGTTTAAAGTTGAAGTAAACATGCATGGAAATAATTTAAATATTTGACACTAAGTATTTGTAATGTTTGCGGTATGAATTTGTTGGTGACGTTTATAATGTAATAGGATTTAGAGGTAAAAGTTTTTGGATATTTCATTTATTTTATACGTGGAAATGTTTATATTTAGAAAGGGTATATACTTTTTCGCGATCAGGTAATTTCATATATGTTCTTTTTACCGGGTTTAAAGATTCAGAAAAATGTCATGTATTTTCATGAAATTTTTCTAATTTATGAGAAAAAAGCAGTGTACATGGATATAGTGAAGAGTGTGCGCAATGCCATTTTTGTGCAATTCTGGGATGTTTTTTTAAGTAAAAATAAGTCGACGTGTACATGGTTTATGTGTATGTGTTATTCTGAAAAATGCGCAAGGAGTTTGCTATTGTGCACTTTTTCCCAATTTTGCAGTGAATATTCGTCATGATTAAGCAGTTTTGTTAGATAAAATTTCTAGCATAAGTGTAATTCGGCTAGTAGATTGTTGGAAAAAGTGTTGAGTAAATAAAAAGAAAAGAAACATGTCTTTACTTCGTTAAAGCAAAATGGCGGCCGAAAAAAAAAATAGAGGGTTACTGTAGCAGAGTTGGTCGCCAAATTTTCGCCAAAAAATCACCAAGTTACCATAATCCAAAGATCAACCCAGTCTTTCAGGGAGAAAACTTGAAACCATTCTCCTGCGACCATTTAACTATTTTGTTCAGAGATTTTTCTAATTTTCTCTTGACATATTTCAGGTCTGCCTCCAGACAACTAACTTGTAGGTTGTCAACATAACGCATTCCATGGATTATTGGGAGAAGCTATTTTACGAAAGAATTAATTTTAAAGCTAAACACAGTGACACTTAGTACACTGCCTTGCGGAATATTTTCTTCTTGACTAAACGCATCAGAGAGCATGCAGCCTATCGTCACATGAAACTTTTTATCCTGTAATCAAGAAATGTTTGATGAAAACTGGCAGACTTCTTCGCTAGGCCACCGTTGTATAAGTTACAAATGATGCTGTACCTTCATGTGGTGTCGCTGGTTTTCGCTATATTAAAAAATATAGAAATGAAGGGATTCCTTTTTACGGGTGCTTTATGGATACCAGTTTCTAACAGTAGAATATTATCAACAATTGCTCATTCTTTCCTAAATCCATTTTGATAAGGGGAGATACAATTATTCATCTCTAAACAGTAAACCAGGTGAGTGTTAACGATCATTTTGAGCAGTTTGCAAAGGCAGCTAGATAAAGTGATGGGACGGCAACAAGAGGGATTTGTAAGGTCTTTTTCTTGTCTGGAAATTGGGATAACAAAAGCTGTTCTCCATGCATTGGGAAATACAAGTTCTTTTCATACTCTGTTGAAAAGAAAGAGGATGGTTGATAGCAAACTTACAGGGGAAATGTTTTAACACAGAATAACTAATGCCATTATGACCAAGCTCTTCTTGACTATGACAAAGCTCTTTTCAACTTCAGCATAGTTAGATCTTGATTATAAAGTGCACGAGTGAGAAAGCTGAAATCAATCGATTGTTTTTCAAAAAGTATCTTCACAGAAAGGAAGGCAGGATGACAGTTACTGCTATTTGAGACAGCTGAAAACACTTCTACGATTGGATTAGCGATTCCTTCCCTGCTGCTTATTATATCACCATTTAACTTAAAAAATGGAGAATGTGAGATCTTTTTATACATCAGAAACTTTCCCAGATCTTCTTCCTTGAAGTAGAGGAGTTTATCGAAGACATACACGAGATCCACGAATTCCTCCAAATCCTCTGATACACTCGATCGCTTTTGCTTTAGCGGTTTTGAGAATCACAAGATTTGATTTGGTAGGATATCACCAAAATATGTTCCAGGATTCCTTTTGTATGGCATCCTGGCATTCAGAATTCCACCAATGCATTGGGTATTCTGGAAATTTTACCAATGATTTTGAAAAAGATATTTCAGGGTTGATCTTCGTATTATGGTAACTTGGCGATTTTTTTGCGAAAATTTGGCGACCAACCCTGCTACAGCAACCTGCTAGTTTCTCTTGGACGCCATTTTGTTTTCATGAAGTAAAGGTTTTTTTTTTTTTACTCAACATTTTTTTCCGACAGTCTGCTAGCCGAATTATGCTTATGCTAGAACTTTTATGGAACAAAAGTGCTTAATCATGACGAAGATTAAGTGCGAAATTGGGAGAAAGTGCAGAATCGCCCACTGCTTGCCGCGTTTTTAAGAATTGCACATGATTAATTTGCACATTCTTCACAATTTCTTCAGTGAAATATGCATAATGTGAGAAAGAATCCCAATCTGCTTAACAAAAAATGTGATTTGGAGACAGAAGGATTTCCAAGTTCATAATGGTTGAGAAATGTTTGCTATTAATTGGATAATTTCCTACACTAGGTCATGGAATAGTTGTTTGATTTGCTTTCTCCATGGATTTGTATCTCTACTACCCTAAAAATCTTCCCAACTCCCCCCCCCAAAAAAAAACTATTGATAGCTCACCAGTTAAATCATCAAACTCTCCCTAATACACACTCTCATTTAGAGAAAATGGAAATGTGTAAAATTACAATGAACTCATTTTGAATTTCAGATGACATACAGGTGACTGAAAATTTTTGAGCCATCTTTAATCTTACAAAGTATTCTCAGACTGCTAGACTATATTTTGCTATTATACATAAAGCGAGTATCAGAGCCAGTGCCACTAGTGGGGGTGCAAAATTTTAAGTTCAGAATAGCACCAAAATTAAGGATGGAATTTTTTTAAATTTAGGAAAGGCAATAAGCCACACAATTTAGGACCCTCAGAGATTCACATGCAGTGCCAAATGGCTGCTGAGTATTACATAAACATATATTAAGCTTGGCTAACATTTGTCGTTATATTCGGAAACCTTCGCCTAATAACCCGTTTTCCTGTATAAATTAAATGTAGCTCATTTCAATTATTTAAGACATTTCTTAAATTCCTACATTTGGTTTCATAAAACGTTTGTTTAAATCTTACCACACTGACACATAGTAAGCAAAAACTAGCATTTGATCATTCTATTGAGATTTCTAAATATTTTAGCATAATTTTCATTGAAAAAGAAATAATATAAATGAAAAAAGAAGTTCAAATTAATCATTGACAAACAAATCTGCTAAAATTGTAAAATGTGCAGCATGCTCAGTTTCTTTATCCGCGGAATGTTTGGAAGATAAAGCGCTGTGATGAAACTTTTTTGGTGTTCCACTTTTTTTTTATTCACGTGTATTTTGTTCACTTGCAGATGGCCACAAAGTATGCCACACGTAATTGAAAATTATCCAATTCTCTTACATAGCTCATGAAATGAAAGAGACTTCTGCACCAAAAGTAATTCATTTATGAACACTTATTCCTGCAAAGTGCTAGAATTATTTGAGTTAAAAAAAGAAGCAAGAACTGAGTAAAAGTTACTGTACACTGGTATTTCGTAATACGTAAAACTAGAATCTTTTAACGCATCTAGAAAATGCTACGAATCAAACTACTAAATGAACAGCTTTAATGAAAACATAAATCTCATACATAAAATATAATTTATGAAAAAAATTATGAGAAAGAAGTTAACATACTTCACATTTGGATTAGAAGAGTTTGCCATTGCTAGGACTATGTAACTTTTCTAAAATTTAAAAACAAACAACATATATAAATAAAATTACCGCATTTACGTATCGAAATATTGGAACGATAGAAATGTCATGGGAACGAGGCTTGTCAGTAGTTTTAACTTTATTTAAATATCTAACAAATCAGAAAAATTCTTAATTGTTTCAATACAAAAAAATTATCTTTCTTTTTTTTTTAACGAAAACTTCTACAAAAGTAATTTTATTTTAAAAATTTAGAAAATCCAATACTTATTGCCCACGTATATGTCGAGTTTGATGTTGTATTATTTCTGCTACTTCCTTTCTGCTGCCGCTTTAACGCAGGTTTCAAATCATGTACAGGCGATGTTGTCCGGCAATTGTACTTTACCTTTAATCCAAATTTAAGACCATATTATATAGATTCAAAATTTAATACTCAATAAATTTTGAAGCGCATCTTTTGATTTTGCTGTGCCACGGCATGTTACCACGGCCTTTGCATTCTACAGTGCTTTATTAATAATAATGGTAGGAAAGTATTGCTACATTTTTAACAAATGCCAATAGTTTTAAATATGATATTTTTGAAAATTAATGAAAGTTTTCAAAACCCCATTAAGTTCGTATGGGAGATTAAATTTTCGTAATAACTTCTTTGTTTTCTTTAAATTTTCGTAATAACTTTTGTGTTTTCTTAAAAGTGTTTTTTATCAAATGCTTAATGTTTACTAATGAATTGCACAGTGTTTTTCTTTATAAAAGTGGTAGATGAGCGCTTCTCTTTAATATTAACTCTTTTTCTCATATTAAATGTGTGCGCTTTAGTTCTTCAAGGAAACTGTTTTATTTTGCAGATAATGATGAATGTGTCAAGATGGTACATTCTACTTTTAATTCTATGTGCTGTTCATATAAATTTTTCGCAGACACTTCAGAAGTCTGTATCTGTAGTTTTGGACTCAAAATGGTTGGACACACCTTTGCATTTAGAAGCTAGGTAAAAAAAATATTGTATTTCATTGTTTTCACGTTATTTTAGTTATTCATGCTTGAATAATGTTCAGAATTTAATGTCATAAAGAAATTGTTAAAATGTTATGGATAATTAAATACATATCCCTAATATTGTTAACGTTTTCTTTTAAACCGTCCAAGTTGAATTTTATGTTAGCAAACATTTAGAAAAATCTAAGTACTAAATTATTTTATATGGGTATTTTTGTGATGTGTGCTGAATTTTGTCACATGCATATACCAAGTTGCACATTTTATTACATGTTACATATATACTTTTAGATAACAATTTATATTAACATTTTGTTTATGTTTCTTCATGATGCATTAAATTTAATAAATCAGTTTATTTTTTATTATTATTCCTATTTTCTCTATTTCTTAAAAGAAGAATTGTATGATTTCTTGTAAACAATATACAACTACTTTTAGGTAAAGTGCAGAATCGCCCACTTATTTGTTTGGCGTTTGCAAGAGTAAGAATTGGATTTCAGTCAATATTCTTTGACATTTTAAGTGAAAATAGGTTGATGTGTACATGGATACCGAGTATGTGTAATTCTTAAAAACGCACCAAGCAGTGGGTGATTCTGCACTTTCCCCTACTTTTAATAGACACTTCTCATAAAATAGAACTCTAGCAAATCAGTTTGTATGTTCAATATGTCTATAATCATATTTTACTGCCAACGATATTAGTATTGGCTATATACATGAGAAAGCTTCATTTTACTACAGATATGCCTTTATCTTTTCGTTCTTGATAATTTCTTCATCTTTAAGTTTAGTTTTTCTTTGCAGTACCCTTTTGTTATTTTTTTTAAGTTTTGAAGAGTCTTGATATAAAAATTATCTCTGTTAACATCTTTATTAAAGTTTTCATCAGATAAGACTGTTACAGAATCAGTACTGTGATCAAACAAGTAATTTATTTGCCTTAAATTGTTAAAAAAAAAAAAAAAAAAAAAAAACCCCTCTCTTTCTTCGGTTGATCTTTACATTATGGTAACTTGGCGATTTTTTGGCGAAAATTTGGCAACCAACTCTCCTACAGCACAGCAACCCTCTATTTTTTTTTTTTCCCCGCCGCCATTTTGTCTTCACGAAGTAAAGACATGTTTTCTTTTCTTTCTTATCTACTGAACACTTCTTCCAACAATCTACTAGCCGAATTACACTTATGCTAGAAATTTTATCAAACAAAACTGCTTAATCATGACAAATATTCACTGCAAAATTGGGAAAAAGTGCACAATACCATACTCCTTACGCGTTTTTCAAAATAACACATACACATAAACCATGTACACGCCGACTTATTTTTACTTAAAAAAAAATCCCAGAATTGCAACAAAAATGGCATTGCGCACACTCTTCACTATATCCATGTACACTGCTTTTTTCTCATAAATTAGAAAAATTTCACGAAAATACATGAACAATTTTCTCAATCTTTAAACCCGGTAAAAAAACATATATGAAATTACCTGATCGCGAAAAAGTATTACCCTTTCCAAATATGAACATTTCCACATATAAAATAAATAAAATATCCAAAAACTTTTACCTCTAAATCATCTATTACATTATACACGTCACCAACGAATTCATACCGCAAGCATTACAAATACTTAGTATCAAATATTTAAATTATTTCCATGCACGTTTATTTCAACTTAAAATATATACCAAATTCCTACAAACATAAAATTCACAAAATAACTATCATTTAATTAAAATATCACTAAACCATGTACACGTCGACTTATTTTTACTTAAAAAAAACATCCCAGAATTGCACAAAAATGGCATTGCGCACACTCTTCACTATATCCATGTACACTGCTTTTTTTTCTCATAAATTAGAAAAATTTCACGAAAATACATGACAATTTTCTGAATCTTTAAACCCGGTAAAAAAACATATATGAAATTACCTGATCGCGAAAAAGTATTTACCCTTTACAAATATGAACATTTCCACATATAAAATAAATAAAATATCCAAAAACTTTTACCTCTAAATCATCTATTACATTATACACACGTCACCAACGAATTCATACCGCAAGCATTACAAATACTTAGTATCAAATATTTAAATTATTTCCATGCACGTTTATTTCAACTTAAACGTATACCAAATTCCTACAAACATAAAATTCACAAAATAACTATCATTTCATTAAAATATAATTAAATTCAAAAACACTACTTAAAATAAATGAATGAGCACATACATTAAATTAATAAAAATTACCTTACAATCCTAATTACTTTAAACTAAATCATTGCTAATAACAATTTTCCCAATAATACCAAATTCCTTTCCACCTTACATTTAGAACAATGCATAAAAATAATATCCTCAAATAATTAAAAATACTAACTTACCTAATCTTCTTCAGAATCTTGATTACGTGGCGGATAACACTTTCTAATTCATTCAATTAAATTATTGAAAGATTTTTCTGCGAATTTTTCCTCCTACTTCCTCCGCTAAATAAAAAGCAAACTTCTCTTTTCACAATGCCTAAATACCCATTTCGAATTCACTTTAGTTAGGGCCATGGGATCCAAAAATTAAACAACACACTGTTTCACACAACACAGAATAAAGCTAAATACAAAATTTTCCACATTTTTTCCTGATTTCCCCCCTTTTCCAATTAAAGAACCGTAATTCGTCCATTAATATCACATGACATATCCCATGATCTCTCATTTCCCTCGCGCAAAATAATGCGTATTCGGAACTGAGTACTGCTCACATTATTACGAAAGTCCCAGGTAGTAACCTTTATCGCCTCCAAAATGTCGCCAAACTACCAGTTACCATATTGTAAAGATCAACCCTTTCTTCTTATTTTTTATTGTTTACTATTGTCTTCATCTGATAGTGTCTAAGTACATCTCGTTTTGTTAGTATTTTCTGCACTCAGCCAAAATAACAAATTATGTAAATTTCTTATAAAATCTTAATTTTTGTTCTGATTAAAAGAAAAACCCAGTAGTTCTGCGAATGATAATTAATCATATTTAATGGTAGTGCACATCTCAACTATTATAGTCACTGCTAGCCATTAAAGTTACTACATCATGAATTTTCTATGCAAAACATCTGAAGTTTACATGAAAAGTAGAATATGATAAGCTGTAAAAATAGTGTAAATGATTAGCATTTCAAGCAGAGCGAGATTAAAACTTTTAGTGGCACTTAACACTTTACTGACCGCTAGCGGTTCAACAGCATACGCACGTCCGACCAGCCGCTCAGCCGCAGATTCTCCCTGTCCTGAATAACTGTCAGGACAATCTGCGAAATCGTCTAAATAAAACTCTCCAGTATGATTTTTTTTTTGCTCACCACAGGGGTGTTTGCTCTGGGGAAATTCCGGAATTCCGGGGATTTTGAACTTTGATACCCGGAAATTCCGGGGATCGTCGTTCAAAAGGAAGTAGGAATAATAGAATTATTTATTTTGACTGGGTAATTTTGTTTGCTTTGAAGCAGAAAACGCAAGGTCAGTGTGTGTGGTGAAAACTTTCCTTTCTCTCCAAAGGCGTGAAAAGGGGGAAAAAACTTTTTTTTTTTTCCTTATTGCGAGTTATGACTCATTCCCCCGGTTCTCGGACATTCTCTTCTGGATTGTTTTTCGCAAGTAGGCGCGGCAGAAAAAAAAGAGAGTTTGACCAGATGTGTTGATCACGTGACTCTGGGTTCAAGGTCTTATCTCTCCTGGCGTGGGCGCAATAATAGAGAAGGGGGATTTTTTGCCGTATAGCTATTTGTCATTGATCCTTCTCACTTTTTTTTTTCTCTCCGCTGTGTAAAATTTTCGTTTCATTATTGATGCACGTGTAAATTTTTTTTTTTCGTTATTGAAATATTTTTTATTTATGTACGCAAGAGAATTTCACTATGAAATTTCTCGATATAAATAGTATATTATACAATTAGAAGAAGGTGTCCGGAATGCATTTAGGTGGATTTGGATTGAACGGAGAGATGGTAATGGGGATACCATCGGCACATGGTGCAAGAAAATAAATGTTGCTGGACAAGCAATTGTGTTTTTTGTAACTCACTGCTGAAGTATTGTGGGGAAGGATTCAGCTTTCATAAATAATTCTAAACTGTGATCACATAAAAATATTCAAAGTCATTAGACATTCAACGACTTTAATAATTATGCTAATTCAAAAATACTGTGACTTACTGGAGACTGATCTCCCATTGGATTACGTCAAAAGTCATATCCGGACTCGTTGGGACTTCGGCGATTCCGGATTATCGATTTTCCGGATTATAGATCATCAGTTTAAATCTCGTAAGATGGCATGCAGAAATTTCTAAAATTAAAAATATATGAAACCGTAATTTATGAAATAAAGAACAATTATGATCTAAAGGGTATCAAAATTTACAAAAAAAAAAAAAGCTTAATATTTATTTTGTTTACTTTATTAAACATTTCTTTCAATGTAAGTTGTTTAAGTTGCTTCGTTTTATGTGATAATACTTTCTCTTTAATTCTATAAACAGACATAATTTCTTGTTCAGTTACAAAGTTCCGCTGTTCAAGTCCCGTTAATTGCTGTGCCGAGAATACCGACTAACTTGTCAATCGAATTTTTTTTTCGTTTTCACTAACCTCTCTGTCACATTCTTCATGTCTTTATCCATTTTTTTTGCAGCAATTCCACTTTTTGTTTGATGGACATTGAACATACTTCATTTTGTACGATCCTTTGGAAGCTCCAGAATCGAAAATTCTATTTAACATAATCGAAAGTTCAAGTTTACTTTTATAAAATTGCTCTTACAGTCTGCAAAAAATAATAAGCCGTATCCATTTCAAAGATTAAGGAACAACGCAATCATCAACATTAGCTGAAATAAATATTTTTAGCTTATATCCGTCCGTTATACATAAAACACGCACTCGAAAACGTATTCTGCTCACGCGTAAACGCCTATGC